AGTTAGAAATGTCGTTTTCCAGTTAATTTATTTTAAATTTAAATTTCGTAAACTTAAAATAAATTTAAATTTCGTAAATTTAAATTTAAAATACATTTTCATAGGGGAGTCAAAAAGTAGTGAAAGTGGTACTGTAATTCCTTATGAAGAGTTGTAAGGAACCTCCTCTCTATATAGTCTGATAGAGAAAAGGATGTTATATATTTCTATGCTATTTGATCATACTTCAACTAAATTATAATAATGATAAAATTTCGATAAGATCTATTTTTCTATCATATGGACCGAATATATGAATGTCTATTTAGTGGATAGTTGCTGAATAACTTTTGATAAAAGCTAGTTAGAGAGCTGCGGTTTTCATTGTTTGAAAGAGGAGATGAAGATGCATCGAATCGTATATTATAGATTTTCCTAGTATATTGTCTGAAGTTTGTTTACTCAATTTTCTAAGTGTAGAAAAATGGTGTCTTATCACAAAAGAAACAGCAAAAAAAAGTTTTTTACAGACATTGTCAGAAAAATAAACTTAGAGCTTCGACTAAAATATCTATAACTCCTAAATGATTAATCCTAAACATCTGAACCTTGTGCAGTTTTGTAGACCTTTCATTGGCGGTTTGAGTACATACCCAACAATTAAGAATTCATTATAAACATCTCACCGCATAGGTTGGTGTCCAAGGAGATCTATTGAAGACGTTAAAAAAGTCATGTCAAAAAATCTATAATTTACGATTCGATGCATCTTCATTTCCTCTTTCAAACGATGAAAACTGCAGCTCTCTAGCTAGCTTCTATCAAAAGTTATTTAAAAACTATCCACTAATTAGACATTCATATATCCGATCCATATTAGAGAAAAATAGGTCTTATCGAAACTTTATTATTATAATATTAGTTGATGTATGATCAAATAGCATAGAAATATAGAGCATTCTTTTCTCTATCAGACTATATAGAAAGAAAGTTTCTTAAAACTTTTCATAAGGAATTATGTTTCACAAAAATCGTATTGGAGATTCTACATGGTATATTGCAGTCGATTATCTGTAACAGATTTTTGTTCGATAGGAAATATCGAAATCTTAGAAGAGTAATCGTTTCTACCAACACAATTTATTGATTGCTTTTTGAAAATCTTGTTGCACATTCGTCGACACAGTGCAAGTAAACTCAGTTGACTTTTCCAAAGTAACAAAACCGTTTGACTCTTGAAAAATGTGAAACATCGTGCGGAATGGATATATTTTTAGACAATTGGTTCGCACAAAATCTTTGCTCAACTAAGCTTCTATCATTGATCGATCGATTTTACACTTTGATTAATTGTGTATAAAGTGAACAGCATAGAAAATTCCTTCATTAACTGAATCAGTAACAGTAATAGAATTAAATCTTGTTTAGTTCCATGGATTAAAAAAAATTTTTCGTCGGTCGACTTTCGATAAACCATACAATAAAACTAAAAATATTGAAAAAAGTTGATATTCACTCGATAATAGAATAATGATAACTAATTATCGAAAGAAAAGATTTGTACTGTTCCACGACAGTTGAAGAAAGTGGATTTAATCGCGTAGATTGGTTTCCATTCAAATTGACGACGCCTTTTCATAAGATGTCGTTCGAAATGTAAAAACAAATACTTTGAAAGCAACTTCGTCATGAATAAACACGCAAACAATTTATATCAAAATTCAGTAAAACATTGGACAGAAATGTATTTAAATGAGAACTGATTTGAAATATCTTTGGAATTCAGGGACTTTGTTTATGATGCATGCCAAATTTAAAAGGACTACCGTAAGTTTTGGAGCTCTTTTGGCTCAATTAGAAATCAAAGATAGTTTGACGTAAAACTTTCAGCCATTGTAGAGTCCAGAGTTAGTAGTCATTCTCATAAGTTTCAGTTTGATCGGCCAAAATTTTCCCTTACTTTGCGACTCAAGTAAATAAGCTTTTTTGTGACTTTTAACACGTTAGGAACCGAGTCAGCTCTTTTATCGCTTACCCGTTCGATCCGATTGAACTTCTACAACTGACCGGTTTTCATGTGTTTTTTTTCTGTCTTTTATCAAATTTTTCCGTCACCGAAACTAGTCTATTGTATCCATTTTTATTGATTTTCGGATGCGTTCTTTTATAAACAACCTTATATCTTCAATTATATTTAGACCTGATCATAAATTGCCACATACGAATTATATTGAAGTTGTGCTTCCCCATACATAATTTGAGCGTAAACTGCTGCTGGGCAGCTATGTCATCTATTCACAGGGCAATACTGAGTTGCATGCATATATGAAATCAACATCATGGTGTAAAGAAGATTTAATGCATTTCACGAGCCATTACAGATGACCACCAAACAATTCTGATTTCAATGTTTTAACTTATTGTGAGTGGAATGCTATGACACATAATACAGAATGGAATAAAATTTAAGACTATGATTCAATAATTGATGAAGTAAGAGAACGAATTCGTCGTGTACCAAAGAATCATCTTGTTCACAGAGTCGAAAATTGATCATAAAATTTTGTCCATGTCGAAGAAAAGTGTGCATATCAAATAACCTTTCCTTTGTAGATTGTAGAGCTTTTCATGCTGCTGCATCTAGCAATCCATTTTGCTTTTTAATAAAATGTATTTGGTGATGAAAAGATGAAATGTAAAGTACGGCTAATTATTATTGTTGATAATAAATAAAAATCATCTTACTAACACATTTCTTACTTGATGTTACATTAAAATCTAGCAGACATTGAATCTTATCACTACCAGCATAAAAAAAACATTATTTATTTTCACCTAATGTCGAGTTTTGTGGAATACATCTATAGAAAATAAATCTAGAAAAACTAAAACTAGAAATAGACTATAACTATTTATATGTTCTAAGGACATTTTCACAAATGTAATTCGATATTGATAGAAAAAGTGAAGCGATTTTTTCAGTTATAATGATAGATTGTTCCTTGCTTATACTCATGAATTAGGTTTACACATTCATCAATATCTAAAATAAGCAAAGAAAAATATATAAAAAAGCTGCCGTTCAGTTTTAAAATCTTCTCATTGAAATAGACATGTAAATGATAAGGTATCTGTGCTTCCAAGTCTATCTAAATGATTTTCATGATTTCTAGCAAAAATCTTGGTAAATTAGCGGAGTTTGGTAATGGTTTTTTTATTGTTTACGACCATTATTAATATAGAATGTATTAACTCCTAGCATAGGATAATAAATCTTTACCCTTATATCATATTCATCAAAACATATTACTCTGTGCACGAAGAACAGTATGAGTCGCGGCTCTTTGAGAGATGGAATGTGTCTCCACGCCACGACACTTATGCAAAGAGTTTGTTATGCGAGGACTTGCATTTTTGAATAATCGACTACTTCAATTTGTTATTTCCATTCAATTTCTGTATTCGTGGATGTAGATTAAAAAAATTCTGTTGAAAATCAGAACTCTGAAGAAAGTTCTAGACACACAAAGTTTGAAAAACAAACTCGATTTGGAAACAAGCGTATGGGTATATGATGTTTATATATACTATGAAAAAATATTGGCGGGAAGCATACATCTGACTTAATCGTGCTGTAAAAACGAAATTCTAATCAGATATCTGCATTTTATCAGTAGAAGATATTATATTTATCTGTTAGAACGGAATTATAGGCTCTTATTTAATCATTCTAATACTGTTAATAAGAAGAAAAGTGTCTATATCACAAAATTCATAAATTCTTCTAAGAAAAAATGATCTCACTGCTATTTTGATGATGGCGACACAACAACTCTTTATCGTCCGAGTGTTTCTCAATGAGGTTTGATCTTCATACTCTATGTCCATATGTACGTCATCATCGATTGGGTCCCATGAGCCGAAGCCTAGTATGCATTGCCATAGAGGGATCAGTGATGTGGAGAATGTCGCGCTGGCAGCGTGCGCGCGTGAACAACTATTTATATGGTGAGACATTTATTCCCGATAGACAGAGTGAAAAAAATTTTAAAAAAAACAAGTCATACAGTTGGTTCTTTTTGTTCAACTATTGCTTCAATTTCGACAGAATGTAGTTGTAAACGAGACGCAACGCTCTCATCGTCTGTAAAAATTTAAAGAGAAAAGGCGCCAAGAGTGGATCGAGGAGGATAGAAACCATGTTGTGCTATAGAACATCGATGAGATATTGTACTCCTAATTGTCTTATATGGTTGTACTGTAGATCAATTATAGCGAGCGTCTGTATGGAAATTACTATATGAGAGACATGAAGAGCAGAGGCAAAGTGAGAAGGAGATAATCATGTTCTGCCTTAAACCATAAGCGAAATATTGCGCTTCTTGATCTGGAATTTTATTCACAGCGAGTTCCATTTTGTTCTGTATGTGCAAAAAGTTGATAACTAGAGAAGCGCAAAAGTAGCTGCAAGTGTGTGTGAGGATGCAGATGTACGAGTCGCTGTAATATTTCTAGTTATAGGGAATATAAGGTCACAACAGTCTCAAATGCAACACCCATACCCGTACCCGCATTTTAATGTTGATCTTAGCAACACAAGGTTTATTTTATGTGATTTCATCTGTACCAAGAAAACAAAAACTTTCAACTATCTTATCGCAAAAGATATAAATAGAAGGTACTTATGCTGAATCGAATTTCATTTCACCTATTGATAATAACTCAAAGGTAAGAAGATGACAATGTGGCAAACAAACACTACTGTGATCCGTTGTTGGATAGCATAATTAGTTATTTAAAAATAAAATGATTTTTGTGTTCTTATCGTTCAACAGACTCTTAATAAAAATTAAAGTTAAAAAATTCAATCACTTATTATTTATTAGCCATAATTAATTATATATAACTTTACTGTTAGTTCCTTAAAGAGAGCGATTATTAATAATGCAAAAGACATACAAAGCAGTAAATAAACGAAAGAACCTTTTTCTCATTAAAGTTTTTTTGTTCAACAGTTTATTTTATTTCTATAACAGAAAAAAAAAATATAATCAGTTTCACTTTTTTATCAAAATAATAAGCTTTCTTACACGATGTTCTACAATAACATGAATTGATCCGTTTGTACTGCGACCTATACCAACTGAAAAATTCAACCATATATCAAGATGACCTTTACCAAAAACATGCTTCTGTAGACTGATTTTCGAGGAACCAATCAAATCTCGCCCAATTATATCGTCATCATAAGCATCTATGTGTAGCTCATCTTGATCTTTTTGCAAATTACTTAAAAATACAGATCAAAAAAA